GAAAATGGGAGGAGTGGAGAAAGTGGAAATTTTGAATAGTATTATTTATAAATCAATAAAAAAGAGAACACAAAAAACAACAGCCATAAATAATATGAAATATCATGGGGTAACTCTAGCCTAACAAGTGAACAACCTGTATGAAAAAAATTTTAAATATCTGAAGAAAGAAATTGAAAAAGATATCAGAAAGTAGAAAGATCTCCCATGCTCTTGTATAGGCAAGATTAAAATAATAAAAATGACAATCTTACAAAAAGCAATGTACAGGTTCAATGCAATCTCCATCAAAATTCCAAAAGAATAATACACAGACTTCAAAAGAACAATACTGAACTTCATAAGGGAAAAAAGCACATGATAGCTAAAACAATCCTGTGTTATAAAGGATGTACTACAAAGACATCACCATCCCTGACTTCAAGCTCTACTATAGAGCCATAGTCATAAAAAAGTTTGGTATTGGCATTAAGAAAGACACATGAACCAATGGAATCAAATTGAAGACGCTGACATTAAACCATACACCTATGAACACCTGATATTTTACAAAGAAGCTAAAACTGCACAATGGAAAAATGAAAACATTTTCAACAAATGATGCTGGTATAACTGGACATCATTATGCAAAAGAATGTAAATAAATCCATATCTATCACTATGTGCAAAACTCAAGACCAAGTGGAGCAAAGACCTCAACATAAATGCAGGTACACTGAGCCTGATAGAATAGAAAGTGGAGGAAGCCTTGAGCATATTGGCACAGGAGATCACTTCCTAAATACCAGCAGCATAGACACTAGGAGCAACAATCAATAAATTGGACCTCCTGAATTTAAGAAGCTTCTATAAGGCAAAGGACACCACAAATAAGACAAAATGACAGCCTACAGAATAGGAAAAGATCTTCACCAACCCCACATCTGACAGACGGCTGATTTCCAAAATATATTTAAAAATCGAGGAACTAGAAGACAAAATACAAAATAATCCAATGAAAAATGGGGTACAGTGCTACGGACAAGCTCAGCTGGAGCACTGGGACCTACGGGACAGACAGGGTCTCAAGAATAGGTGGGTAAGGAGTCAGCGAATGACAAACAGACACAAGACTCAAAAGGAATTGCATCTAAATGCATCTTTACCAGGCATGAGGCTCATTCTTTATAGATAAAACATTGCTTAATAGCATTATTGTTTAACCATACAGAACAGATAATTCTTAGAATCATTATATCAGATACACGAGAATAAAATTTTATCAGACAGATGTCCCCAGTGTGAGTCTGCAACTCATGCAAGACATGGCTTGACATTAGTTTGGACATAAATCTTTATCTAGGCTAGGAGTGCATGATATTTTGAGCTAAGGACAAGCAGTCGTAGTTAACAGTCACATAGTCTACAGTCATTTTATATTTCTGCAATCTATGCAGAACAACTTCTTCTTTTCTTCTCCTTCTCCATATTTCTAACTCCTTTTCAAACCTTCCCCAAAACCAATCTTTTTTATTTTTTATTTATTTTTACTTATTAAAAATTTCCACCTCCTCCCATCCTCCATTTCCCACCAACTCCACCCACTCCCCCTCTCCCTCCTTCTCCAGTCCTTAGAGCAGTCAGGGTGCCCTGCCTTGTGGGAAGTCCAAGTTCCTCCCCCCTCCATCCAGGTCTAGGAAGATGAGCATCCAAACAGACTAGGCTCCCACAAAGCCAGTCCATGCAGTAGAATAAAAACCCAGTGCCATTGTCCTTGGCTTCTCAGTCAGCCATCACTGTCAGCTGCATTCAGAGAGTCCGGTTTGATCACATACTCATTCAGTCCCAGTCCAGCTGGCCTTAGTGAGCTCACATTAGATCAGTCCCACCATCTTTGTGGGTAGACACAACTCTCGGAGTCCTAACTTCCTTGCTCAAGTTCTTCCTCCTTCTGCTCTTCATTTGGACGTTGGGGGCTCAGTTCAGTGCTCCAATGTGGGTCTCTGTCTCTATCTCCATCCATCACCAGATGAAAGTTCTATGGTGATGTGCAAGATATTCATTAGTGTGGCAATAAGATAAGGCCAGTTCAAGCACCCTCTCCTCTGCTGCCCAAGGAACAAGCTGGGGACATCTCCTTGGACACCTGGGAACCCCTCTAGAGTCAAGTCTCTTGCCAACCCTAAAATGGCTCCCTTAATTAAGATATCTACTTCCCTGCTTCCATATCCACCCTTCCTCCATCTTAACCATCCCATTCCCCCAAGCTCTACCCAAAAACTTTACCAAAGCACTTCAACAGCTGATAAACACCTTTAGTAATGTGGCAGGATACAAGATCAACTCCAAAAAAATCAGTTGCCCTCCTACACACAAAGGATAAAGAAGGAAATCAGAGAAGCATCACCTTTCACAATAGCCACAAATAGCATAAAGTATCTTGGGGTAACTCTAACCAAGGAAGTGAAAGAACTCTTTGACAAGAACTTTAAGGTTTTGAAGAAAGAAATTGAGGAGGACACGAGAAAATGGAAGGATCTCCCATGCTCTTGGATTGGGAGGATCAACATAGTAAAAATGGCAATTCTGCCAAAAGCAATCTATAGATTCAATGCAATACCCATCAAAATCCCATCAAAATTCTTCACAGACCTTGAGAGAACAATAATCAACTTTACATGGAAAAACAAAAAGCCCCAGATAGCCAAAACAATCCTATATAATAAAGGAAATTCTGGAGGCATTACCATCCCTGACTTCAAACTCTATTACAGAGCTACAGTAATGAAAACAGCTTGGTATTGGCATAAAAACAGAGAAGTCGACCTATGGAATCAAATAGAAGACCCGGATATTAACCCACAAACCTATGAACACCTGAATTTTGACAAGGGAGCTAAAACTATACAATGGAAGAAAGAAAGCATCTTCAACAAATGGTGCTTGCACAACTGATTGTCAACCTGTAGAAGAATGAAAATAGATCCATATCTATCACCATGCACAAAACTCAAGTCCAAATGGATTAAAGACCTCAATATAAATCTGACCACACTGAACCTGATAGAAGAGAAAGTGGGAAGTAGACTGCAACACATGAGCACAGGAGACCACCTCCTACGTATAACCCCAGTAGCACTGACATCAAGAACAACAGTGAATAAATGGGACCTCCTGAAACTGAGAAGCTTCTGTAAAGCTTCCAAGGTCCAAATGAGGAGCAGATAAAGAAAGTGTGGAATATATGCATATTAGAGTACTACTCAGAGGTAAAAAAATAATAATATTTTGAATTTTGCATGCAAATGGATTGAAATAGAAAACACTATCCTGAGTGAGATAACTCAGACCCAAAAAGATGAATATGGAATGTACTCACTCATTAGTGGACTCTATCCATAAACAAAGGACATTAAGCCTATAGTTGGCAGCCTAGAGAAGCCAAATAACAAGGTCACCCCAAAAAAACATATATAGATCCGCTTGGAAATTGGAAGCAAACAAGACTGCTGGGCAAAAGTTGGGAGCATGAGGGTGGGGGTGGGATTGGGGGAAGAGGAGAGGGGGAGAGAAAAGAGAAAAGGGAAAGACTGGAGAGTGCTTAGGGGAGTGGGAGGGTTGAGATGGAGGAAGGACAGATATAGGAGCATTTTAGGGTTGGCAAGAGACATGGCTCTACAGGGGATCCCAGGTGTCTACAGGGATGTCCCCAGCTAGGTCCTTGGGCAGCAGAGTAGAGGGTACCTGAATTGGCCTTGCCCCACTAACACACTGAATATCACCATAGAATCTTTGTCCAGCCACGGATGGAGATAGAGACAAAGTCCCTGGTCAGAGCAACAGACTGAGCTCCCAAGGTCCAATTGAAGAGCAGAAGGAGGGAGAAGATGAGTAAGGAAGTCTGGTCCGCGAGGGATTGATCCACCCACTGAGACAGTGTGCCTGTTCTAATGGGAGCTCACCAAATCCAGCTGGACCAGGACTGAATGAGCATGGGACCAAACAGGACTCTGAATGTGGCTGAAATGGGGGACTGATTGAGAAGCCATTGATAAAGAACCTTCATCTGGCGATGGATGAAGATACAGACAGAGACCCACATTGGAGTACTGGACTGAGCTACCAAGGCCCAGATGAAGAGCAGAAGGAGGGAGAACATGAGCAAGGAAATCAGGACCGCGAGGGGTGTACCCACCCACGGAGACGGTGGGACTGATCTAATGGGAGTTCACCAAGGCCAGCTGGAATGGGACTGAACAAGCATGTGATCAAATAGGACTCTCTGAATGTGACTGACAATGAGGGCAGACTGAGAACCCAATGATAATGACCCCGGATTTTGATTCTATTACATGTACTGGCTTTTTGGGAGCCTAGTCTGTTTGGATGCACACCTTCCTAGACCTGGATGGAGGGGGAGGGCGCTTGGACTTTCCACAGCGCAGGGAACCCTGACTTCTCTTAGGACTGGAGAGTGAGGGTGAGGGAGAGTTGGGGGAATGGGAGGGAAATGGGAGAATAGGAGGAGGAGGATATTTTTAATGAGTAAATAAATAAAAATTTTTTTTAAAAAAAAGAGTCAGTATTAGCAAGGAGCTTTTTTTGATCGACCTCAACATCAAGGAACATTTATAATATAAGGTAAAAAGGAAAGAGAAAGAAAATTTCTGTGGAAATTTCAACTTTTAGTGTAGAATGAAGTTAAAGGAATCGGCAGCACTTGGCAGCAGAAATATCACAAGAATGCCCATGTGAAATACCACAAATTTTATTTAAAATATGAAAAATCGTGATTTTGTACTTGAACTATTACAGACTTTAAGAAGAATATGCTTTTTGGAAAAATTAGTTGTGGCTGCATCAGAATGCCGCCTCACAAACATCTGTCTGTCCAGCTCAGGAGGGGGAGACAACAGCTTCTGACATTGTGGGCACCAGGAATTAACAGATACATACAAGCTGACACAGTACTCATGAATATAAAAACAATAAATAAATAATTTTATGAAAAATGATAAAAATTAACTCTTTTCAAAAATCTGATGGCACATAGACTGCATGTATTTCACCATATTGATTATTCTGCTATCAGAACTGATTTGTACCAAAGGAGTAATTGTGGGATAGACATTCATCACAAACTTCTGAACACTCAGGGTGACTGGGTTGTACATCTGTAACAGGACTGCAGTGGATGAGATGATGAAGTTCACCGAGTACATCACCACAAAGAAAACCACCAGCAGCAAAATGGTCTGGGTGGCCCTTTTCTCAGGAGATGCTCTCAGGTGGCTGAGGCTGTGAAGATGCTTGTGTTGCCTCTGATGTCTGAACAAGATGATCACTATGTATGCACTTGTGGCCAGCATAACTACTAGAAGAAATACATCTCTGGAGATTGTCACTGTTAAAATCAGTGCCCTGATGATATAGTTCATGGGGAAGAGTAAACAGAATTTAGTGACTTTCATCTGGTTGGTCTCATTCACGTTGGTAAAAGCACCAGCATAGAAGATTCGGTTGCTAATGAATAACAAGTTGAAAGACCAAATAAATAAGAAAGCATAAATCAGGTGGTTTTTTAGTTTATATTTAAATTTTGCCAACAAAGAGGAACTGGGGCTGATAGTGACAGCCTGAAACACACTCAGGAGGCAGGTGATGCACATGGAGAGGCCTCTCATCACCCTGCTGATGTAAAAATTTGCCTTACATTTGAAGTCATTATCGATGTTTAGTGACTCAAATATGTCCCAAAGCCAAATATCCCCTCCAGTGAGGAGCAACAATATGTGGATGAAGATCAGTTGAAAGGAGATCATGTCCATAGTTTTAGGTCTTCGACCTAGAATTATGAAAGTATAGAAAACAAGGAGAAACATATTGGCCAGGACTCCAAATCCAGCTTGGAAATTAAGGACAATCCTTAATGAGGACATATGTAGAAATTCTATTCACCTTAAAAACATGAAAAGAAAGAATGAAATTTATACCCTTGCAATGCTGAAGCATGCATGGGCAGCCCATATATGGTGGTTCTGTTGGCCTTGTCCATATTGGATTTCATGGTCTAAGTTGATGAGGACAACTGACTAGGTATATTCCTCAAAAGGGCACCAGATCCCAACACAAATGGTTGTGGAAATCTATTTCAAATATCTGAAAAAAATAATAGAGTGTTCACCAAACTTTTGAATCACTTATCAATATGTCTATATCATCATTCTCTTTTGTCTATTTATTCTTGATTAACCCATATCTTTAATTTTTGAAGTTTCACATTCGACATGGCCTATGTTTCTAAATAGCCTCAATGTTTCTCCTGGACACACAACATATTGAGCATGATAAATGCATTCTTAGCCATGTCCTGTATTATACAGAATGCATACTTTATGTGCTTGTATTGCACCTAGACCGCAAGGCTTAGAAATTGTATCCTACTGATCTGACTTACATTGCCTCATTTTATAGATAACACTGAAAATGGCAATGATGAGAATACAGGAGCATAATCATATTTGTACAACTGATTAAAAATTATGTTGATCTGGGGAAAAATCACAAAAGATATTCTAAAGAGTGAGGTGAGTCAGTTTTATATTCCACAATTTTAATAACCTCTAATTTAAACTATCCATGTTTTCATAATTGGATGGAATCAGAGTTGATAATTCATGATAATCCCACTATTTTAATCAGTGGGATGTCTATCTCTATTTATCTATTTATTTTTATTTTTCAATGAGCTCACCACCCCAGAATCTGGGATTAAAGACAATGATACAGTTGGAAGCCATTAGTGCACTTTCTATACCATATTACCTTTAAAGCCATTACTGTTATAAATGCTCCTGTGTCTCCCAGTTTACTTCACATCCATGTAAAACTTGTGTGAACTCTACTTATGGTTTAAAAAACTAACACCAGCAATCAAGACAAACATTATTTTTTTTCACAGCAGGACAGTGGTGGGGAGTAAATCATTAATAGTATGATTCCTTTGGGTTTTTAATTCATTCCTTGTTACTTTCCTACCTATTCCATCTTCTGTATTTATAACCTCCTCTTTAACTAAGAAAGACCATTTTCCCTATCAGATCAATGGTCTCCTGCTACTCCACTGTACCTTCCTCCCACCTCCTTCTATATGAACTTCCCACCTTCCTGCTAAGGAGCCCACCCTTTCCCATTTCCTTGATAAGATCGCTTGTATCCTGTTCTTCTTCTCTCCTTTGCTACCCACGATCAACCCAATCTAGACCATGGCCCCATTTTGCTTTCCTGATATCTGTAGTTTAAACGGGCTAAATACTCTCATCTGAAGATGTGGAGCTAGAAGCCCCCAACAAGAGAGAGCATGTGACATTAAGAATAACACTGTTTTGAACACATTGTGGCAAACATAAGCTTGCCAAAGATGACCACATAGTGATCCTGTTTTAGAATCTCTGTTTTAAAAGAAATTCCTTCCCATGCAGTGAAAATCAAGGGCCCCACTGTCATCATACGTCATCAACACACAGACAGTTTTTATAATTTCAACAAATAGTCTTAGCTTTTGTTAGTTCTTTAGCCTGGTTACCAGTATCATTATTTTATCAAATTAGTATAATTTGTAACTTTAAAATCAACTGTGTGATAAAAAAAAATAGGTCCAAATGAGAGGCAGAAGGAAAGAGATCGTGAGCAAAGAAGGCAAGGGCACAGGAAACCTTCATCCGACGTTGGATGGCGATACAGATGGAGACCCATATTGGAACACCGAACTGAGCACTCCACAGTCCAAATGAGGAACAGAAGGATGAAGAAAATAAAAAAAGTAATCAGGACTGCGAGGGATGCGAGCACCCACTGATACAAGGGGACTGATATAATGAGAGTTCACCAAGGCCTGTTGGACTGGGACTGAACGAGGACATGATCCAACCAGATTCTCTGAATGTGGCTGGCCCGGAGCCTTTTTGAAAAGCCATTGACAATGACACTGGGACTTGCTTCCTCTGCATATACTGGATTTTGGCGCTCCAGTCTGTTTGGACTCTCATCTTCCCTGGACCTGGAGGGAGGGGGGAGGAACTTGAACTTCCCACAGGGCAGGAAACCCTGACTGCTCTAGGGGATGGAGAGGGAGGAGGAGAGGGAGTGGGGGGAGTGGGAGGGTGTTGGGAGGAGGGGCTGAAATGGAAACTTTTATAATTTAATAAAAAAAAAAAAGAAGACCAAAAAAAAATAGAAAACTGTACCAACTAAGATTCTTGCAAGAAAGAGTGGCTAATTGTATTTTCATGTTCACTTGTATATTCCATATATATATGCATGCATGTGTATATAGAAATAATTCAGAAGTCAGTAAATGAGACCTTGCTATAGTAACTCCATAAATATGCCAACATAAAAAATATATTTTACACATATACATTATATTTGATCTTAAAAAGCTTTATCTAATAAAGGAATAGACTCAATCTAATTGCCAGAGCCAAACATATGATTCTCCCACCAACATAGTTATAGTAGCTGCACAGTGGTTTTCTGGTTTTTTTTTAGTTCTAGGACACAAGCTGGAAAGATAGCACAGTGGTTCAGAGCATGTTTTACTCTTGCAAATAACCTGGGCTACATTCCCAGTAATGACATGGTGGCTCATAACCATCTGTAACTCTAGTTATAGGGAATCTACTGCCTTCTCTGATATTGCAAGCAAGAGTGGTACAGAGATGTACATGCATGTAAAACACATATATGTGGAAAATAAAATAAGTAAATATTAAAGGAATGAAGAAAAAAGAAAGAAAGAAAGAAAGAAAATATATTATCTGATTTATTAAGGATAACAATTAATTCAAGGCTTGATTTCTAAACTGAAAGAACTGTAGCACATTTCAATTTTAAAATTGCAAATGGACAAAATCTATATGTATAATCAATCATTTTATTAACAACACCTCTATAATTTATTAATAAGGCAACATATTATAAATAAAATAAAAAGATTATGATAGAAGTTAAAGATGGTAATCAAAAAAATTTATTATCTCAAAGCTATGGACTTCAACGTCTCTACTTCACACTCTTTGCTTAGTTAATATTTGTCACCTACAGAAAATGATGCTTCTTCTCATTCTTTATGTGGCATCTTTTTCTGGGGAACACTGAAGGGGAGACTTTACCAGAAAAACCATAGTTACCGTGGCTATACACTGAGTTGTCAACATATTCGTAAACTGAGAAAAGTCATTCATTTTATTTAAAAAAAAAATGCAGTGCTTAGGTATTCACATTAGTCTAAGTTGTAGAACTTAGTTGTAAGGATTAAACTCAAAGTGTATTTATAAACATTCATAATAGTTAGAATGTGGTCACTATCAAAGGAATCCAGACCAAAAGACTGGGCAGGCAGCATACAGTTGTCTGAAGTAATGTGCAACGAAAAAAGAGCTGTTTCCTCGGAGCTCGACATTCTTCTGAGAAAAATCATTATCACAGTATTTGATTTTAGAACAGTCCTGTTTTATGAATTTATGGTAGTCTTTGCATTCTTTTTTTGAGGAGATAGTAATACAATGAACATGCAAACATATTAGATCAAAAGTATCATTTTCATTTTAAGTCTTACCATATTTAGTGAGCAATGACTTAAATGCAGTGTGACTGCTCAGAGAACATGAGAACGTGGAGTGTTTGTATGACTTTCAGGTGACAAGATACATGCTGTTCGCTGATGTGCTGTCCACTGTCAGCAACATTAACATTAACATGAGATTCGGGAATCTCAGGAAGATGAGAACCTTAGACACTCAAATAAGGTCCATGAGCAGATTTTTATGAAATTATATGTCAGTAGCAATAGAGTTATTAAGTTATTAAGGTATTAATCATAGCACTTGACTCAACTCTTATAATTTTAAAGTATAAGTCACTCTTCAGAAATTGAACTTAGCTCACCTGCAACTGGAAGCACACAGACACTCACTAGAACTTTACAGTCTCACACTTTGCAGCCAGTTCCCCTGCGATGAAGCAGCAGCAGTAGTGTCATTGCAGAGCCTGTGGGGAAGCAGTCAGACCCAGAGCTCCATCACAGGTCACATGGTGTAAGTCTGGGAAAGACATGAAAATGTTCACTGGAAGAGTGTGTGTGTGTGTGTGTGTGTGTGTGTGTGTGTGTGTGTGTGTGTGAAATGACTACCTGGAGTAAGAATAGATCAATAGCATATTGTGTGCTGGGGCCGCTATCATGATTACATGTACAGCACTTAAGTGAGAAACTGAGGGTTATATCAGATATGTTTCTAAAATAATAAAATCTCTATTTCCTGGATGACTTGATCAAATCCATGAAGGTAGGTCCTTCCAAGTGCATCAGCATCAGTGTAGATTCTTAAAGTGAACTGGACAGAACAAACTGAAAATTCTGAAGTGCTTGCAGACATAAACTCATTCTTCCATCATTTGATTTTCACAGAGTAAATGGTCTGTGTCTAATGATTAGATGACATTTATTGGCATCATTTTATTTCATTTTAAAAGCAATGATTTCACAATTCTACATAATCTCTTTACCACTATAAGTTTGTTGCATTTGTGTGTGGGAGAGATGGAGATAGAGGGAGCAGCTCAACCTTAGTTCAGTCTGACGTCAACCACACTCACAAAGCTCCTGTCTTAGCTGTCAAAGTGCTGGGTTCATAGGTGTTGCCACCACACCTGACTTCACTTTCCATTTGAGTCTTTTGTATATATTAATAATAGATATTTCAGAAATATTGAAATGGACTTATGACATTCATCAGCTAAACTAAAATTTACTTGACACATTTTCTGCATGCATATTTAAATGAACAATTTTATTTTGCAACTATTAAAAAACTTTGGGTATTTTGGCTTTAAATAATTGGATACTAGTAATTCAAGGACTGAAACTATTTCTCACTGCTAAAGAAAAGCTTCCTCGACATTCCATCAG